GCCGAACTGCAGATAGCAGTCAGCTGAAGTGGCCTGCAGTACTGCACTCTAACCACTGCACCACCTCGGCCCCTAGAATAGAATAGCAGAGTTGGAGGGGACCTTGCAGGTCTTCAAGTCCACCCCCTGCTTAGGCAGGAAACCCTATACCATTTCAGACAAATGGTCTAATCTCTCCTTTAAAACTTCCAGTGTTGGAGCATCCACAACTTCTGGAGGCAAATTGTCCCATTGATTAATTGCTCTAACTGTTCTCCTGAGTTCCAGGTTGATTCTCTCCTTGACTAGTTTCCACCCATTGCTTCTTGTCCTGCCCTCAGGTGTTTTTGGAGAAAACTCTTCTTTGTGGCAACCCCTAGATATCAGAACTAGGGAGGGAGTGGAGTTTGGTCAATTTATAGTCTAGTCATTTGCCTGTCAGTGTTGGCTGGGAGTAGTCTCAGTGGTTCTTGGGTTGTTTACTGTTAGCTTGTTTGGCAGTTCCTTGATTGGGGTTATGGTTTACTTCTTGCTTGTTGGTCTGATGTTAATGTTGATATTAATCTCTGTTCATCTGGGTGTTGAGTGCTGGTAGGGACACACACCCCTCCAGCAATTAACATGCAGATAAGTAGAGATTAACAGCAGAAAATGTTTATCTGGGATTCTAGAAGCCTAACTAGCAAAGACTCTGCTTTCATTCTCATATTTCTTTACAATGTTTCTTGATTGACTTTCAAGGCCACTATCTTCCCAAGGTGACTTACAATACTCCACTACATAATAGCAAATCATAACTTGCAATTAACCAATCAAATACTTTCCTACCAGAAAATACACATGAATAGATTCAATGAAAACCTGCTGGAGAAGTAACACCAACAATCGTTTTCATCATTAGCTTGGGGAAAATATAAGTGTTTAAAATCTTTCCAACCAATGATATGCAGAGGCCTTACATATTTTGAGAATGCCATGTTCCACAGAGTATCACTTGGAATGCCATCTCTTTTTCTCATGAACATTTCTTCCTAAGAACTGTCAATATTGAAAATTATACTACCTTGGTTCTGGATCTATGTCTTTAATTCCATTGCAACTTCTCATAGGCAGTTAGGTGGCAGCACTCAGCTAAAAATTCCACTATGTGGAATCAGATATCAGATTAATATTGAAATGGGAAACCACCAGAAATCCCAAAGCTGCAAACATCTTAGAAGGAAGCAACAACACATTTCTGTACTGTCGACAAGGACACCACATTGATGTTGAGTTTGACTCAAAGGAGAACATATATTTACCTATCTTCCCCTGCAATTTAAGCTCCACCCTGACAGTTATCCTTCCCACCCAGCCTTCAGCTGCTCTTCTGCGTTCACCATTTCCACTCACAAATTCCTCTGACTCAACTGGACCACAAGCTTAAGAACAACTGCTGCAGGGCCAAAGTCTATCCCTGAATCAGTGGTGGGATACAACCGGTACGCCCCAGTACAGGCATACCGGTGCCTGCTGGGAGCACAGGTACAGTTCCAGTATGGTGCTCAGGAGGGCCCACCCGCCCTCCTTACCTGTATTTGAGCCAATCATGGCTTTTGTGCATGGTAGCATACGGCCCTTGCGCAACACTCCGAGCAGCTGGAGCGTCGCAGGTGGTAAGTAAGCATGCGTGCACTGTGCTCATGCTGCATGCGTGCAGGTGGTGGACGCCAGGCCCCGTTGCAGCGTACCGATTGCAACAGGATCCAGAATTCACCACTGCCCTGGATGTTAAACATTTGGGAAAAGAGAACATTTTTAAAAATCCTCTCCGATATCTTCAAAAGCATCTGACTGAAGCTAAATTAAAGGAAAATGAAAGTAACTTTTAGCACTATTGTTCTAAGCCAGTGTTTCTCAATGTTGGCAACTTTTAAGATACATGGACTTTAATTCCCAGAATTCCTGAGTCAGCAAAGGGAGTTGTAGTTCATGCATTTTAAAGCTGCCAAGGTTGATAAACACTGTTCTAAACAACAGCAGCATATATGGAGGTTCAGAGTCCACAGCATCTGATTATCACGGAAAAGTATTTCATGCTAATTTTCTAGCCATAAACTTTACACCAATACCGACTCCACGGGATATTCTCCAGGTATTTGTGACTACAACTTCCAGAATTCCTTGATTGAAGGAATAATGCTGAAAGTCAGTGTCACTCTATATGGCAGATGTAAAATACTGAGGCATAAAGCAGAAGAGCGGGCACACATTATATTGCTCCATATCATGGGTTCCTTGGTTCAGATTTGGAGCAACATATGATCCCAGCCATTGTGAACTGTAAACTATAAACTTTGATGTAAGGCTGTGGGAAATCAAACCGCTACAGCTTGTTTGGTAAACTAGATTACACTACAAGGCATGGACCCAGCCTGACAATCACTTGCTAAGTATAATAATGATTTATTACACTTGTATTCTAGTATCATCTAGGATTCTATGAATATAAATGGGGATTTGTGGTTCATAGCTCAATCTTTTAACCAGCATGATACATTCACCTCTTGAATGAATGAGACAGCTGGCCAGCCACTGATGAAAGAAAATCCTAAGCAAGATGGAACTTTAATCTGACCTAGAAGGCCTTTGCATATTCTTAGAAAGGACCAGGTCTTTTTATTGACAACACATGTGGGATAAACTGAGTCTGCTTGTGCAATAGATAAACAGGTATATGCATGTATAAGAAAGAGCTGTATTGTTTCATTTCTGGCTTTCCAGCTTCCCACTACGATCAAAGGCTGAGCAAAGTGGGCTTACCTTGCTCTGATCTATCATGGCTCTTCTTGCTCTCAGATACATCCTTAAGGAAACCGAGTCCGTCCACAGCCATTAACCAACAGGCTTTTAAAAGGAAAAGGAGAGGACCACTTACCATGAAAGCTAAAGGTAGATTCAGCCTCAAATGCTGAAAATTGTTTTTAAAAAACCATCCTGGATCACTGATGTAACTGAGAAAACAAACAAGAAGCCCTGTTGACTCAAACCAAGATAAGCCCATCTTGTTCAACTTCATGCTTCCCACTGTGGACATACAAAAATCCCCTAATAAAAATCCCCTAACAAAATGGTCCAGAAGGCAACCCTTATCCTCCACTATTTTATCCTCTCAGAAGCAAACCAGAGATTACTATTCTCGGGGAAACCCACAATGGAAATGACAAGTATCAATGGCTGTGTTCACAGATAAAAGGGAGAGATAATACATAAAAAGCACTGAAACATCAAACAACATGGTATTTAGGGTAGCCATTTAATCCAAGGCCCTTTCTCAATACCTTCGGTGGAAGTCAGAGCATCACTTCCATAGTCCATGAATTTCACTGTTACACTGTTTCATTATTTACAGGTTCTTGGTAAATATGCTTCTGATTTCAACCTGCTTATCATCTCAATCCTGCTCTCTGAAATGACAACCCAAGTCTTTCATAATACTTTATTTCCAAACTCTTCACTATCTTGATTTCCTTTAATTCTGTCTCTATCTTACATAAAAGGTGGAATTCAGAACAAAACATATTACTCCATATGAATCTTAACACAGAAATAAAATGAAATTATCATTGACTATGGTCCAATCAACTCACCTTAGCTAAAACAATTACACACGCCTTCATTTACCAATCCTTCTCATTTCCCGTCCTTCTCATCTGTTTTCCTATTTTTAAACAGTAACATTTTGGGGATAAAAAGCCACTATACAGTACCTGCTTTTTGCAAAGTGACATGTACAGTGACATTCCAGAGAAGAAGTAATTGTGTTAGCCTTTTGCAGCCAACCAAGCATCTCATGCATCTTAAAGTATCAGATTAATTATATATGTTCACAAGGAGGTAGGCAATACATACAATAACCAAGTTAAGCCTGAATGTACATGGATCACATAATATCGTAAGAATACCATTAAACTTTTTATTCATCTAGCCTAAGACTACATTTCATTAGCAGGGTGTTAGATTATTGGGTGTGTTCAATTTGTGATACATTTTCCTATGTACAGCACTAAAGCTATATATGTTTTAAAAAGGTTATCTTAGTTGTCCCACTTTTGGTTATGCTCTAGGTGAATTTATTTTTCCCCTTTTGATACTGATGGCTTTCTTAGCAGGAAGGGAGGGGATTTATCTCCTTCTCTCCTGCAGCAGTCCTCGCAGCCATTTGGTTCTGAGGGATACCATTTTTTATAAAATAAATGTCAACGGATGAGTCTCAGAGAATCTTAAATGAACCTGTCCACAATCCCTTCAACAGGCAGGGGCAGCTCGATCCAAGTAGCCTCGTAGACCCGGAGGCCTACAAAGCTCATCACTCCTGTTCTGACAGTATAATCAAAAGTGAAAGCAGTCTCCCTCCCAAGCCCGGCTTGTTTCACACGCGCTGGATTCAAAGACCCATGATTCCCACCCGGCAGCAGGAACAGGTGAGAGGAAGTGCAGAGGGCTAGGGGAAAAATCTGGAAAAGGCAGAGGGATGTCCACCTCCCACTTTCGGTGGATCCTCCATGTATAGGGCTAGTCTACCTTGGAGGTCTACCAAGTGGTGGAGGGGAATTAAAGCGGAGTGAAAATCGAAAGGATTAAAATCAGCCTTCGGCGACTTGACACTCCATCTATCTCAAAACTACAGTTCCCATCACTCTCAGCCACCAGGCTAACGGCCATGCTGGATGGGGACGGTGGGAAATGCAGTCCCGCAGCTTATCAGGAGGACGTCAAGTCTTAAGGCGAATCAGCTCCGGTATTACCATCACCACCGGCCCTTCCCTTCCCCTCCTCACCGGTAAGCGCGGCGCGATCTCAGCCGAGCAGCAGTGGCAAAAATACCGTCCCGGCTGCGGGGAAGCCTCCGCCATCTTGCTTCCTCCTTTTCCTCTTTCCTCCCTCCCTCCCCCGCCCACCCACCGCCCTTACAGGGAGGCAAGACCGCCACACGCTGCGTCAAATTACGTCAAGACGCTTGGTAACGCAAACGTCCTACGGCGGCCGTGCAGGTCCAAGAACGGGCCACCTCTGGGTGGCCAAATGAGGGGCGGGAAGTCAGAAAGCTCACAGAGCTTTCCAGTCCTAGACCGGCCCTTTCTGCCGGAAGAAGGCTGAGAAGGAGGCGGGCTTGGGTAGGCGGTGACCTACAGACCGCCGGGCAAAGGGCGGGTCTTGCTTTTCGAGCCACGTGACTTCTTCATTTTTCAGCGTCTGCGTTCTCACGACCTGCGGAGTTGAAATACGTTAGATATTATACGTTAGATAGCAGGCAGGTTGGCGTTGTATGGTGCAATGCGAGTCCCTCTTTTCTTCCTCTCTCGTATTTTTACACCCCACCCGCATTGCAAGCTGCAGAAGGGAGTCTGCGGGCTGAAACAAAACTTAAGTCAAACTTTTCTCTTGATTTTTTTTTTCGTGTTAGCCACTGAATTCGTCTTTTTGCAGAACCACTCTTGACCTTTGATTGACTTGGTTTAAACAAGTGGGGCCTGCAGATCTAATCTGCCTCCCTACTGAAGTGCAAGCCGGAAAAATAGACTCGTATAAAAATCGGTAAAGAAATGTCATGAGTTGAAACTGAGTTTGTGGACATCGTTTAAAAGCAAGCACTAGGGGGCGCTTGTCTCCTACCGATGTATTTTTTCTTTCTGCATAAGTAAAACAGCCTGTTTTCCATAATGTAGCAATATAGCAGAGTAGTTAAGCCATCGAGGCACAGATGTGCAGTCGGTTATTACCCTATAACTTTTCTCCATGCATCTCGGACTGCCTAGCTTTCATCGCCTGTGGCCTCAAATAAGGGCTGGAGATCTCTGTTTGTTTCTGCTTATACAGGTAATCTTCGTGATCGCCATTGGAACCAGTATATCATTGCTAACGGAGGCAGTTAAAATGATTCGATCTTGTTTTACGACTTTTGGCACAGTTTTTTTTAAAAAAATCACTGCAGCTGTTAAGTTAATCGTGCTGCCTTTAAATGGATTCAGCTCCCAATTGACTTTGTCTGAAGCTGCCTGGGAAGGTGGCAAATGGCAATTGCCTGACCCCCCCAGGATGCTGAAACTGTTGTAAATTGCATGCTGTAAATTTGCAAGTGCCCAAATTTTGATCATGTGACTATGGGGGTGCACTTATTGGTCACTTTTTTCAATACTGTTGTTAACTCCAGTTACTAAACAAATGGCTAGAACAGATGATGACTAGCTGAATATAATTTCAATTTTATGGCATGGTTTTTGTGCTGTGTCAGTCTATTGTGGTTTCATCAGAAAACTATGCCTACAGAATACAATGCCTACCACTCAGCCAATACTGACAAGTCATTTGCATCTGATTCTAGACTTTCCTATATCTGCTTCTAAATTATCTTAATATATTTAACACAGTTTCTGAATCTGGGAAATACTTGATCATTACTGGTACATTTCTCTCACAAATCTAGGCTGCTACTATTATATGTATTCTGTGCCTTTTGGTCAACCTTGACTCCTGGCAACTACACAAACAATGTGGGGTATTGGGTTCCTTCCCTCCCCACCCCCTTTTGATAGTATTTTTCAGAAGTGGTTTGCAACTGCCTCCTTCCTAGGAAAAAAGAAGGGGTCCAACGTCGCTCAACCAGATTCTGTGCCTAAAGCAGTGGTAGTCAACCTGGTCCCTCTCTACTGGGCGTTCCAGCTTTCATGGTGGGCGGTAGGGGTTTGCTGTAACTCTGCTTTATAAATTTTATAAA